CCTGACAGCCCCAAGGGGAAGGAATTGTTCCCCATGCCCAACCTCACCCTGCCCTGGCACAACTTGAGGCCGCTGCCCCTCGTCCCATCGCCCCTTCCCTGGGAGCAGAGCCCGACCCCCCCGGCTCCCCCCTCCTCTCAGGCACTTGTAGGCAGCGATGAGGGCTCCCCTCAGCCTCCTCTGCTCCAGGCTGAACACCCCCAGCCGCTCCTTGTAAGCCTTGTGCTCCAGAAGATTTCCAGAGATTGAAAACACTACAAGAAAGCTAGAATGATTTAAAAGAGACTTTTTAGGTTTTGGAGATTTTTTCTTTTTTAAAGATTATGAGGGAACAACCACTGTGTCTATTATTTCACCCATCTATTGTTTTCAATAGGGCTGAAGTAAAGAAATATTTCTATTTACTGTAGCGTGCACCAAGCAGCAGAGCTATCAAGGACAAGATGTTTTCTCCACTTGGATTCTTCCAGTGGGTGCTGAAGTGCTGCGATGCCCCAGCCCATTCACAGCCTAACTAACACTACAGCTCCTCGCTTTCTCCTCCAGCTAAAAATAACAGTGCGATCTGCTGCTGCCTCCTCTGCCCGCAACTGTCAAGGTTAACTCTGCAAAAGAGGGGAAAAAAAAAATAACTTGGCACCAAATGAAAAACTTCTGGTTCCTTTTTTGTCTTTTTTTTTTTTTTCTTTCTGAAAGTGATGGAGAAAGAAAGACGCACATTTTGCCATTGGCTATTTTACATTTCCAGCTGTCTTCGCCACTGGGAGAGTAGCACGCCGCATTGACGGCACACCGAAAGGAGAAGAAAAGGAGAAAACAAACCTCTTGTCATAAAGTACCGCAGGATTAGCACTTCAGCTAAATAGCTTCCTTAGGAAAACATAAATCACGGCTACGTTCAGTAGCCAACAGTCATACCCTCTGTCCCGGAGCAGAAGTGAGGCAAAGCCAAGCCTCCCTGATTTAAGAAGGGATGAAACGGCTTGAGGTGCTTCAATAGCAGGAGAAACACAAAAGGGTTTTCAGCAAACTTAAGTACTGACGTTTTTCAGATTCGCCTTGACGCTAGGAGCATGTTCAGAGAGATACGTGAAATTTTTTAGGTACTCTGCTCTTCTCATCTCCCACTCCTAGCAAAATAAGCGAGTAGGAGTGGGGAGAAAAAAAAAGAAAAAAAGAAGAAAAAAACCAACACAAAGTATTTAGCCAGACTCCAGTAATTAGCAGGATGACAGTTTTTCTGCGGGCATTTTAAGGAAAACCATGAAAAATCAGGTCTCATGTTCACAGCAAGTCCTGCAGGTCTTGCAGTAGGAGTTGTTATGCTAGGGCCAAGCCAACTCAACTGCTTTTCAAACCTAGCAGGGAAATGTCTTTGGAGAATTAAATTCCTAGTAGGGAATTGCAGCGATCAAATCCTTTGCATCACTGAACCATTGCTCCCGACCTCCTGATTTCTATCAGACTATTTTGCAAACAAGATTCGAGCAGCTCCTAGTTAAGCCCGTTCAACCACACGGTGTCCATCACCAGCTCATAGGAAATAGGAAAGTAATGAAAGCCAGTGAGTTCTCACTGTGGCCACGAACCAAACTCATCTTTAGGAATTACTAATGAAGAGTCTCCACCAAATTCCTGACACGTCTGAGGTTGCTGACCAAATTATAGACCACCTCTGAAATGGAGGCATATAGATAGTTCACAGCTGAAACATTTCTGCAGGAGGCCAGAGCAGGAACCATCGCATTCCTCTTTGTTCACCATCCAGAGGAAGAATATTCTATTTAGCTAAACAAGATGCACAATATCCTATCAAGATGACTTTCTAAAATGAAAAGTAAATTAATAGGAAACAGAAGGCATTTTGATTTCAGTTTCTTCTGTACAGCATTAACTGTTCCCATATGTTCCCAATCAGCTGGCAATGGTGATTTTTAGCTTATTTATAAAAACTCAGAGGCAGATAAGTAGTTTTCAATAACAAAGTGTTCTATACACTGATGACCCTTAAACATTTACCCGTTTTTTTTCCTCAGCTATGCAGAACACAGAGGTTAGAATCATAGAATCATTTAGGTTGGGAAAGCCCTTTCAGATCCCCCAGCCCAACCGCTCCCCTACCCCTGCCATCCCACCCCCAAACCCTGGCCCTCAGCACCTCGGCTGCCCGGCTGTTAAATCCCCCCAGGGGTGGGGACTCGACCCCTTCCCTGGGCAGCCCTTTCCTTGCGTGGCAGCACAAGCAGCCCAGGTACTGGTTGGTTATGCCGCCTAAGAGAAAGTTTTCTTTGCTGCAAAGACTGGTT